CTGTACCGGTCTACCCATTTATTTTTGCAGGCATCAGTCTACTCATGTATTTTTGCAGGCACTGATCTACTCATGTATTTTTGCAGGCACTGGTCTACCCATTTATTTTTGCAGGCACTGATCTACTCAAGTATTTTTGCAGGCATCGGTCTACTCATATATTTTTGCAAGCACTGATCTACTCATGTATTTTTGTAGGCATCGGTCTACTCATATATTTTTGCAAGCAGTGATCTACTCATGTATTTTTGCAGGCACTGATCTACCCATTTATTTTTGCAGGCACCGGTTTACCACCAAACTGCCTTTTACCACTGATCAGCTGTAGGGCGGCCCTTTGAAGCCCCGCGGCAAAAGTTTAAACAGTTTTTTTCCTTATAGCACATCAGCTGGGACTCAGGAGGCAGCAATAGATTGGGGGTGGGGCCAAATAAAAGGTAAGAATAACACGGGGGGGGGGGGGAGGCAGAACCGGTTCGGTGACATCATATCATCACCGCTACCGGTTCGGGAGAACCGGGCCGAACCGAGAGGAACCCACCACTGCTGTGATGCTCCTCGACAAAATATCCACCACATTGTGTCCGAATGAATGTCCATCAAGAGCTTACACCAGCCCAATGTCTGATTTTTTTCAATATAGACTACCCTGTCCTTTATTGGCTGGGTGGACATTAACATTTGAACCATTAACTCCATGTATCTGCCATACGCTAAATAAATAAACGTTCACCAAAGGCTTCAGGAAAAGGTTGAGAATAGAGGGAGGAGAAAGACTGGACACCTCATCTCACCAACTCTGCCCCTTTCCCCTTGCCAAGTTTCACATAGCGTATCAACCGTTCCTTTTCCATTTTCTAGCAATATTTCTTGTACGATTTTTTTTTTTCCTGAGCGTTAAAGCAAGATTATAAGGCTCTTCCTAAGGCAGGAAAACTTTGATTTTCGTTCATAACAAACACGGTTTTCTCTGATTCTTTATATGTTCAATCTGCTCGTTTTTGAAATGAAATTTTTATGGAACATAAAAATCATGGAATTGCAGGCCCCGAGGCTGAGAAATTATCCATACCTTCAGCTGCCAATTTTTAAAAGGTTGCCTCTCCATAATAGTACCGTACAATTGCTCTTGCAAGAATGAAACGGTTCCTCTTTCAGGCATGGTTTTCACTGCGCGTATTTCTACATCGTAATATCCATATATAAGTTACATTTGGAAGGTAATTGAACAAAGGAGTCAAGCTATTCTCCAAAACACCTGAAAGCAGGAGAAGAAGCGACGGGTGGAAACTCATCAAGGAGAGAAGCAACTTAGAACTAAGGAGAAATTTCCTGATAGTGAGGACAATTAACCAGTGGAATAATTTGCCTCCAGAAGTTGTGAATGCTCCAACAAAGTTTTTAAGAAGAGATTGGACAACCATTTGTCTGAAATAATAGGTTATTCTGTTTGAGCAAGAGTTTGGACTAGAAGACCTCCAAAGTCCCTTCCAATTCTGTTATTCTGTTATTGTCATTCCATGTGTCCATATGATGGCTACAGACCACAAAGAAATGAGTCCATAAAAATGACCACCAGTGACTTAACGGTTTCCAAGTTTGAGACCTTCAGATCAGAAGGGTCTGACCCAGTGGTGAAATGTAAAATTTGTTACTACCGGTTCTGTGGGTGTGGCTTGGTGGTGGTGGTGGGGTAATGTGACTGGGTGGGCGTGGCCAACTTTTTTTTTTTTTTTTACTTTTAAAACCATTTTTTTCTACAACCTCTTCAGCCGAAGAGGTTGTAAAAAAAAATGCTTTTAAAAGCCTCTGACAATCAGGCAACTCAGCTGGGATCATCAGAGGCTTTTAAAAGCATTTTTTCTACAACCTCTTTGGTCAAAGAAGTTGTAGAAAAAATGCTTTTAAAAGCCTCTGATGATCCCAGCTGAGCCCTGCGATCATCAGAGGCTTTTTTTTTTTGCTTTTAAAAGCATTTTTTCAGCCAAAGAGGTTGTAGAAAAAAATGCTTTTAAAAGCCTCTGACAATCCCAGCTGAGTTGCCTGATCTACAAGAGGCTTTTTTTCTTTTAAAAATATTTTTTCTACAACCTCTTTGGCCGAAGAGGTTGTAAAAAAAATGCTTTTAAAAGCCTCTGACGATCCCAGCTGAGCACGTGATCATCAGAGGCTTTTTTTTTTATTTTTAAAAGCATTTTTTCAGCTGAAGAGGTTGTAGAAAAAATGCTTTTAAAAATTAAAAAAAAGCCTCTGATGATCACGCGGCTCAGCTGGGCATGGGGGGGGCAGGGATGTTTGCAACCAGATCTCCGAACCACCCGCTGCCATCGTTACCGGATTGGGCGATCTGGTCCGAACCAGGAGCATTTCACCCCTGGTCTGACCAGAAATGAACAAAGAGTTTTAAGTGTAAAATAAAGGGTACAATGTGCCTCTCTCTGAATTCTTCTTTAACGTTGTGTTTGCATTTCTCAGACTGATGTATAATAATACTGCAAAACTATAAAATGCCTCTTTTTCTCAGTGTCTGGAAAGAATTTGTGTTTCCCTAAGCATATTTTTTCATCGTCTTGCATTCAATGATTGGCAATGCAGGGCTCATGATGGAGCATTCCGAAATCTTCGCAAAAGAGCAGAATTAAAATATGTCACATTGAATGTCCAATCTGTTGCTTTCCAGGCAATTTTCATTTTAAGACAAGGCCCACGGGATCGGTTTGGAATAATTTCCAGATTGCATCGTACACGAGGAAGAGCTGAGGCTGAAAAGACATGGTTAATGAAACTGTCGGAGAAGGAAAACTGGAGATTCTTGGTAGAAAGGGGAAAAGATGCAGTGGCCGAGAAGGAATTTTGAAAAATAGACAAAGTTTGCACTCTCTAAAAGTACAAAAACGGGGGGTTTAGTCTGATCCCCATTAGCTCACCTCTCTCCAATATCAATCTTCTCCCTGGCGATGGTTAAGATTTGCTGCCTCTAATTCATGGCATAGTTTCTAGCCATAAAAACCAATAATCACCAATAACATCTATGGAGATTCTCAGTCCTCCAGCTCATGGTTGTCCCGAAAATGCTTTTTCAAAAGGCAACCGGACTTCCTTTATTTTTTCCTTGAAGACATTTCACTTCTCATCCCAGAAGCTTCCTTTAGTTCTGAGTTAAGGGTGGAAGACGGAAGGATTTATATTCCTTGCAGTCATCTGCTCGTTAGTGCTCTCTCTGAGAGTCATTGAGGCCACATGGAGGTTTATCTGTGCCCTCGGGGGGGTCACCTGAATAGTGCAAATGAGTGTGGAGCCTTCTTGGGATTGGACTGCGCTGTGCACTATTTAGGTGACCATAAGAGAGCTGTTAAGTGAATTTTGCCCTGTTTTACAACCTTTCTTCCACAGTTGTTAAGCAAATCACTGAAGTTATTAAGTTAGCAACATGGATGTTAAGCGAATCTGGCTTTTCCCGTCGACTTGGCTTGTCAGATGGTCGTAAAAAGGGATCACGTAACTCCGGAACGCTACAACCGTCATAAGTACATGTCAATGGCCAAGCCTTTGAAGGTTGATCACTTGACCTCAGGGATGCTACAACGGTCATCAGTGTGGAAAACGTCCCCTTTTATCAGTGCTGCCGTAACTTCAAAGAGTCACTAAACGAAACTGTTGTAAGTCAAGAACTACTGTACGGGACGTGCCAGTAAGAAATTCAGCACAGATACTAGGATTTTTTTTTTTAAAAAAAAGGCAACTAAGCCACAGTGGCCCATCTTACATTTGCAATCTTATAATCACAAGTCAATTGCAGATTGATTATTTCTCCCAAATTCCTGCTAACTTCGTTGCTTCTGGAGGAACGCAAAAAGCCGATTTTTTCCCCCCCCTCCTGCTCTGGATCCTCCCAGCTCCCTGAAAACTTGTTGCTCATGCTTCCCAATCTCCCCCCCCAAAAAATGTTCATATTTCTCCTGCCCCCCCCCCTCCACTTTGGAATTTACCCGAAATGAGGAAGCTACCCAAGGAGCAGGCAGGCTGCACAATGGAAGGAAGGCCAGGTCCTCGGCCAGCTGATAAGCCAGATAAGAACATGCATCTGGAGGGGGGGGTGAGTTGCTTGCAAAGGGGGGTGTTGAATGGGGAGGAACATGTTGAGGATTCCTTAGGGCAAAAGGAAAAAAAAGTTTTGGGATTTTTGGGGGTTTTTTTGTTTTTTTTTCAGGGGAGAAAACTTGGGGGAAATTGAAAACAGATTTTTGCATGGTGTCACTTTAATGTATGGAATAGAGATCAGATAATGAAAGCATCTAACGGAGCACATAAAAAGGAAAGGAAGGACAGAATTTGAAGCCACTGGGCCTATTTCCTTGCCTTCCTTTTGCTCTTCCTTTCCTTTTTCCTTCCCTTCCCTTCTCTTCCCTTCCCTTCTTTCCTTTCTTCCCTTCTTTCCTTCCCTTTCTTCCCTTCCTTCCTTCCCTTCCTTCCCTTCCTTTCCTTTCACTCTTCCTTTCCTTTTTCCTTCCCTTCCCTTCTCTTCCCTTCTTTCCTTTCTTCCCTTCCTTCCCTTCCCTTTCCATTCCTTTCCTTTTCTTCTTCCTTTCCTTCCCTTTCTTCCCTTCCCTTCCTTCCCTTTCCTTTTGCTCTTCCTTCTCTTCCCTTTATTTCCTTCCCTTCCCTTCTTTCCTTTCCTTTCTTCCCTTCCCTTTTTCTTTTCTTTCCTTTCCTGAAGAGTGTTTCATAACTAGTCATATTCTTTATATTCTAAAGAAATTTGTGAAAGACTATGCATGCACACAAATACACATACCCACATACAATAGTCATGATACGGGCAGTCTTTCAATTATGACCATTTTTCACACTTACGGCCATTGTTGCAACCCCTGGTCATGTGATCAAAATTCAGCCCCTTGGCCACTGGTTCCTATTTATGGCAGTTGCAGTGTCCCAGGGTCATGTGATCTGTTTGAGATCCGTGGATTTCATGGTCTGAGAAACATCATGCACCAAGGATGGGCAGCCCCTCCACCCTCGTGCCCTGTTGCAGCCCCTCAAGACCCAAGATTGCCCCACCAAACTCATCCCAAATGTGAGTTATGGAATTTCCTCCCATTCTTCCTTGAGTAGTCAAGGAACAGTCAATTGCTCCGGATAGTTTAAAGGAGATACATCTTAAATGGGAGGTCATCGTGAATCCCAGAAGTTGGTTTCCATCAAGAGAAACCTTCTGCAAGGCTAAAACCAGGCTTGAAAACATGGGCACATCCCTCCCTCCATCACCAAAGGACACCCAGGGCCACAAACAGACTGCCAAAGGTTGACACAAGTTAATAGAATAGAATAACAGAGTTGGAAGGGAACTTGGAGGTCTTCTAGTCCAACCTCATGCTTAGGCAGGAAACCCTACACTATTTCAGACAAATGGTTGTCCAATCTCTTCTTAAAAGCCTCCAATGTTGGAGCATTCACAACTTCTGGAGGCAAGTCATTCCACTAATTAATTGTTCTCACTGTTAGGAAATTTCTCCTGAGTTTTAGGTTGCTTCTCTCCTTGATGAGTTTCCACCCATTGCTTCTTGTCCTGCCCTCGGGTGCTTTGGAGAATAGATTGACCCCCTCTTCTTTGGGGCAGCCCCTGAGATATTGGAAGACTGCTATCATGTCTCCCCTAGTCCTTCTTTTCATCAAACTAGACATATCCAGTTACTGCAACTGTTCTTTGTATGTTTTAGCCTTCAGTCCCCTAATCATCTTTGTTGCTCTTCTCTGCACTCTTTCCAGAGTCTCCACATCTTTTTTTTTTTTTTAAATCAAAACTTTAATGGTGGACATTGTGGAAATGACACGGGAAACAAAGAGCTCTTCCGAAAAACCAGTTGGCTTGCAAGGATCTCATTAGTTAGGAGAGGCAAGGTTTCAACGGAAGCCTGTCTCTCTCCAAGCACGCTGCCCAAATTCTCCAAGATCAACAAGCTGAAAAGGATCCAGAATAGCAGGAGAGACCCTGTGGCTGAGAAGACCTCACCACAGCCTGCCCCGATGCTGGAGTCCGGTTTGAAGCACATCCGTGTGACCTTATCCACAAAGAACCTTGCAAACAGGCCCAGCAAGCAACTCACTGTCCCAGCCCCACCCCAAGATTTTGGCAAAGGGGATGCTCAAGAATGAAAAACAATGATAGCTGGCTATATCCTGCAGGAGTGGCGGAATGTCTTCTGTCCTTCCCTCGCCACTCAGAAACAATCTCCAAGCTCTCCGCCTGGTTTCCCACCTCCCACGGTCTCTCTTGGTGCTTCAACGGTTGTCCGTTTATCTTCGTTCTTCTCCGTTCCTGATGAAAATCTAGCAAATTTAAATCTAGCAAATCTAGCAGAAAATCTAGCAAATCCCTAGGAGGGAGGGAGGGGGGATTTAACCATTTAGATGAGGCAGTGGTGACATCCAAATATTTTTTACTACCGGTTCTGTGGCTGTGGCTTAGTAGGTGTAGTGTGGCTTGGTGGGCGTGGCAGGGGAAGGATGCTGCAAAATCTCTGTTAGGATATGGTTTGAGCCTAACAAGTTGTCCAGGCAATATATGTGTTCTGTGACTTTAATATGAATATGTTTTGTGTGACTTTAAAGTTTTACTGCTGATTCATTGTAATGCTGAGTCATGCTGTAATTAGATAATCACTAGTTGTAAACGTATTTAAGAAGGGTACTGTAACATATTCAGTTGATGATAAGCTACCATTGTGTGTGGAGTTTCTACCATTGTGCTATCATCGTTGGATGGATCTGCTACCATCGTGGTTTGTTACCAGAGTGAACTTGTTATTCTAACCAACTACTGTTTGTGTGGTAAGAAGATTTTTGTATCACTGGACTGATTTAACTGGCAAAGACTTGGATTGATTTAAAGACTATGAGATTGTTTTTTCACTATAAAGTAAACTTTTGATAAACCAGTTTGCACATCTCTTATTCATTGCTCTCAGCAACGTTTCTCTGTGCTCTACACTCTGCTGGTTGGTAACACAACAACAATACCCTTAACAATCTCCATTCCCACCCCACTCCAGGGGAAGGATACTGCAAAATCCCCATTCCCTTCCCACTCCTGGGGGAAGGATATTGCAAAATCTCCATTCCCACCCTACTCTGCGGCCAGCCAGAGGTGGCATTTGCTGGTTCTCTGAACTACTCAAAATTTTCCATACTGGTTCTCCAGAACCTGTCAGAACCTGCTGGATTTCCTGAGACCTGAGAACCAAGATGGCTGGAATAGAAGATGGAACCCTTTAGAAGATGGAGTGAAGATCCAGAAGGACCTGGGCCTTATCCAACAAAAGGCAATTTAGTGGTGAGAAGAATAAGGGTTTTCACTTAGGCAAGAAAAAAACCAAATGCACAGACATAGAAGGTAGTAGCTGCCTCAGCAGGAGTGCCTGTGCGAGGGGTCTGGGAATCATTTAAACGTGAGCCAGGCGAGTGCTGCAGCTGCCAGAAAGGCCAATGCAATCCCAGGCTGCATCAACAGAGGGACAACATCAAGATCACAAGAAGTATTAATCCTATTTTATGCTGCACTGCTGTATACATTGGGAATATTGTGTTCAGTTTTGGTCACCAAAATACAAAATATGATGCTCAGACTCTGGAAAGAGTGCAGAGAAGAGCAACCAAGAGGATTAGGGGACTGGAGGCTAAAATATATGAAAAACGGTTACTGGAACTGGGTATGTCTAGTTTAATGAAAAGAAGGACGAAGGGTGACATGATACCAGTCTTCCAATATCTCAGGGGCTGCCCCAAAGAAGAGGGAGTCAAACTATTCCCCAAAGCACCTGAAGACAGGACAAGAAACAAGGGATGGAAACTAACCAAGGAGAGGAGCAATTTGGAACTAAGGACAGTGAGAACAATTAACCAGTGGAACAACTTGCCACCAGAAGTTGTAGATGCTCCATCCCTGGAGGTTTTTCAGAAGAGACTGGGCAGCCATTCGTCTGGAATGGTGTAGGGTCTCCTACCTAAGCAGGGGAGGGTTGGACTAGAAGACCTCCAAGGTCCCTTCCAACTCTCTCATTCTGCATTCGGGATCGTTTCGTCTTTTAGGATGGGCACAGATGGTCTCAGCAGGGGAGGGGGGCTGGGAAGAGACGCCCCCTTGCAAGTCGCCGCCTGCGGGACAGCCTCGGAGACGGCCAGCGGCGGGGACCTAAGACCCTTCCCCTCCCCACGCTCCCTTCCTCCTTGGGGGTCGGGGCTGCGCGGCTGACTGGCCCCGCCAAGGAAAAGCGGGCGGGGGGGGGGGTCGACCCAGCTGCTGCGCAAAGAAGAGGAGGAAGAAGCGCCTGCCCGGCGTCCCCCTCCCTCCCTCCCCCCCTCCCTCCCCCCGGGGGTCTCCTGTGCCAAACGGAGGCTTAAGCGAACCCAGATGGCTGGCTGGGCTGGGCGGCCCCCCCGACGCTGCAGCAGCGGCATCAGCAGCGAGAGCAGCCGGGACTTCAGCTGACAGCCTCCCCCGCCCGCCCGTCCGCGCCGCTTGCGCGAAGCCCGGCTTGCAAGCCCGCCAGGCAGCAGCAGAGCAGCTGTTCCCGCAAAGGCGCCGCCAAAGCAGCCGCCGCCGCGTCCGGGGAGAAGCTCCAGCCCGGCCCTTAAGCAAGCAAGGCCAGCCCGGCCCGGCCCAGCCGGCGCCCGGCATGAAGAACTTGCAGCTGATGGAGGCGGAGACGCGCTGGAAGCGCTTCTGCCTCAAGGAGTTGCGCGGCATCCAGAAGCTGAAGCGCAGGAGCCGGCCGGGCTTGCGCGGCGGAGGAAGCGGCTTGAGGGGGCAGGCGGGGGTCCCGGAGCACGTGCGCAGGGCTTCCCCGCCACCCCGGGGCTTCCCCGAAGGCGGGCGAGGAGCCGGGGGGCTGCCGGGGGTCGAGGCGCCCTTCCCGGCGGCGCTGCGCTGCCAGGGGCCGCTCTTCCCCGAGGAGGAGGAGGAGGAGGCGGAGGAGGCGCCGTCGGCGGGGGTCCCGGAGAGCCCCCTGCCCGCCCTCCCTGCCCGGCTCTTGTATAACGGCAACGGCAACAGCGGCCCCGAGGGCTCCGCCTCGCCTCGCAAGCGGCCGAGCGATCCGGCCGGCAGCGGCGGCGGCGGCTCGGAGATCAAAGCGCTGCAGCAGACTCGGCGGCTGCTGGCCAACGCCCGCGAGCGGACCCGGGTGCACACCATCAGCGCCGCCTTCGAGGCGCTCCGCAAGCAGGTAAGGGGGGCCCGCCGCCCCCACCCCTTCCCCCCCCTCTCTCTCACACACACACACGGCCAGAGGGATCCAGAGAAGCGCGTCTCCATGGATCCAAAATAGACCGGACAATGCGATGGGATGGGGTCTCTTGTCTCGAGCAGGGGGCTGGACTAGAAGACCTCCCGGGGACCCTTCCAACCTGATTATTCTGTATAGCAATAGCACTTTGACTTTGGGCTCTGCAGCCCTCTCCAAGGGGTAGTACAGAGCCCCCAACAATCTGGGTCCTCAATCTGGGTCTAAGGCTCCTGCCTTGAGCAAAGGGGTTGGACTAGAAGACCTCTGAGGTTCCCTTTCAGCTCTGTCAGTCTGTCTAAGGCTCCTGCCTTGAGCAAAGGGGTTGGGCTAGAAGACCTCTGAGGTTCCCTTTCGGCTCTGTCAGTCTGTCTAAGGCTCCTGCCTTGAGCAAAGGGGTTGGGCTAGAAGACCTCTGAGGTTCCCTCCCGGCTCTGTCAGTCTGTCTAAGGCTCCTGCCTTGAGCAAAGGGGTTGGGCTAGAAGACCTCTGAGGTTCCCTTTCGGCTCTGTCAGTCTGTCTAAGGCTCCTGCCTTGAGCAAAGGGGTTGGGCTAGAAGACCTCTGAGGTTCCCTTTCGGCTCTGTCAGTCTGTCTAAGGCTCCTGCCTTGAGCAAAGGGGTTGGGCTAGAAGACCTCTGAGGTTCCCTTTCGGCTCTGTCAGTCTGTCTAAGGCTCCTGCCTTGAGCAAAGGGGTTGGGCTAGAAGACCTCTGAGGTTCCCTCCCAGCTCTGTCAGTCTGTCTAAGGCTCCTGCCTTGAGCAAAGGGGTTGGGCTAGAAGACCTCTGAGGTTCCCTTTCGGCTCTGTCAGTCTGTCTAAGGCTCCTGCCTTGAGCAAAGGGTTGGACTAGAAGACCTCCCAGTTCCCCTTCTAAATCAATTACAGGTAGTCCTCGATTTAAAGACCACAATCGAGCCCAAAATTTATGCTGCTACATGAGGCATCGGTTCCTGCAATCGTCATAAATGGGAATCATTTGCCAAGTTACAAGGGGCACTGAAAAAATGGACTTAAGGGTCATTTCTCACACTTACGACCGTTGCAGCATCCCCAATGTTGTGTGATCAAAATTCAAGACTTTTGACAACTGACTCATATTTATGACATTTGCAGGGTCCGGGTGTGTATGTCACGTGAACCCCCCCCCTTTGGAAACCTTCTGACAAGCAAAGTCAAAGCCAGGTTCACTTAACATCCACTTTACTATCTTAATAACTGCAGTGCCCAGAAAAGTCGCAAAACGGAGCAAAACACAAAATTCCTCACTTAGCAACAGAAATTCTGGGCTCAGTTGTGGTCATAAGCCAAGGACTACCTGTATTATAGATATATATTAATAGCTAGGCCCTTTATCCATTTAAGCGCAGCATTTATTAATAGAATTATTATTAATTTAAAAGCCACCTGCGATGTCCAGAACTGGCATTTGGTTGTTCCTTTGTTTATCAGGCAGGGCCAGTTCTAAGCTGAATTAAAACATACCCCTACAGATAATCCTCCACTTATGACCCAAACTGAGCCCAAAATTTACATTGCTAAGTGAGTCATTTGTCAGGAGCGGCTTTTTTTGCAATATTTTACGACTTCCCCCACCATATTTGTTAAGTGAATGGCAGCAGTTGTCAAATTAGTCACCTGGTCGCTAAGCGGATCTGGCTTCCCCGTTGACTTTGCTTGCCAGAAGGTCACCAAAAAGGGATCACATGATCCCAAGACCCTGCAACAGTCATAAATATGAACCCGTTTGCCAAGCATCTGAATGTAAAGCATAACTGGGAAAAATGGGCAAAAGTCAACTTTTGTCAGTGCTGTTGGTTGTAAGTTCGGACGGTCGCTAAATGAATTGTTGGGAGATGAGGACTTCCTATATGCCACAGAGAGAAGATTGGGCCCCTTTAGAAGCTGATGAAACAATGCTAATTGCTTGGACACCATGTGTGATTTGGGGTGACCTGTCTAGTGCCTCCCACCCACCCCAACTCTTCCCCAAGAAGCAGGGGTGAAATGCTCCCGGTTCGGACCGGATCATCCGATCCGGTAGCGATGATGGCGGGTGGTTCAGAGAACCGGTAGCAAAAATCCCTGCGCCCTCGCATTGCCCAGCTGAGCCACGCAATCATCAGAGGCTTTTTTTTTTTCTTTTACTTTTAAAAGCATTTTTTCTACAACCTCTTCGGATGAAAAAAATGCTTTTAAAAGTAAAAAAAAAAAAAAGCCTCTGCCGATCCGGCAACTCAGCTGGGATCGTCAGAGGCTTTTCAAAGCGTTTTTTCCTGCAACCTCTTGGCCAAAGAGGTGGTAAAAAAAATGCTTTGAAAAGTCTCTGACGATCCCAGCTGAGTTGCCTGATCGGCAGAGAGGCTTTTCAAAGCATTAGAAAAAATGCTTTGAAAAGTTTTTTTTTTTTTAAAGTTGGCCATGCCCACCCAGTCACATTACCCCCCCCCAACCAAGCCACCCCCACAGAACCGGTAGTAACAAATTTTACATTTCACCCCTGCCAAGAAATCAACTTGGATGAATCACAGCCGTTATCCGAAAATTATCTGAAAAGTTCGCACGGATCTCTTTCTAGGGTGTAAATTATACCTTCCTGTTAATCAAGCACGCTTTCCTGTCGGCTATCCGGCTTTGCGCTCTGGAAATATTTTTCCAAAGTTTCTCCCTGCGTGCGTGAGAAGCAAAAGCTACAAAGTCAAATCATTTGTCCAAAAAGAAAAAAGAAAATTGATCACTGTCCCACGTGTCCATCCCTGTTTCTATCTTGCGTAAACATGGAAAAGAACAACGATCCAGCCAAGATTAGACTCCACTCTGGGAGATCCCGGGATCATCCCAGTTACATCCGTCTCCCAGTTAAAGAGCAACTGGAAGTTGGGCTTTTAATCCAAACTCCATGAGGCCAGGATTGCTGTGAAGAGTGTCGGTCGGGTCAAGCATGAATCTTAAACCTTGCAAATAATTCCAAGAATTATAATTGAGACTCTCCCATCGGACAGGAATTTGGGGCCTCTGAAAAGTGCCAGGCTGAATGGAGAAGAAATAATAACAAGAGCAAGAATACAGGTGGTCCTCGAGTTACGACCGCAATCGAACCCAAAGTCCCTGTTGGCAAGTGAAACATTTGTTAAGTGAACTTTGTCCCGTTTTACAACCGCTATTCAGTGGATCACAACAGTAACATTGTGTTGTTAAGTGAATCTGGCTTCCTCATGGATTTTGCTTGTCAGAAGGTCACAAAACGGGATCGTGTGACTCCAGGAGACCGCAACCATCATAAGTGTGAAAAACAGTCATAAGCCACTTTTCTCAGGGCCGTTGTAACTTTGAACGGTCACTAAACAAACCGTCGTAAGTCGAGGACTTCCTGTATTGCACCTAAGCAGCATTCGCATGATGTACCAAGCCACCATATTTTAATGACCATCAAGCCAAGGCCATTAACGAGAACCTAGAAAATTGGAATGACTGTGTTAGGGTTATCGTGATATGTTTAACCGTGAATTGGGATAAATCAGTTCCTAGGGTAAGACACTGTTCTCATGGTAACGTGGTTATTCTGAGTATTGAGGAGTTTGCAATTTGGGGCTATTGAATTCCGAACAACTTGAGATTTTGAGATGGCGGGACACATTTGGAAGAGAAGGTCATCTCAGCCGGCTTTCCTCGTGGGTTGCAATTCCAGCATCTTCAGGAAGCAAGGCCCTGGGTGAACTTCTAGAAGTTCAGATTGATGCAACTCATTGAGAAGGGCTGGTATAAGCCACACTTGCAGCTTCTTCTAGAAATAGTAAGATATAAATAGAAACAATTAAACTTAGCAACATCCTTGTGGCACCAGTTGACCTTATTCAACCATTAGATGGAGACTAGGAAGAAATGCTATACAAAACCTAACTAGGGATACAAGTCAATTCAGAATTTACTGAGGTTCAGGATCCCCATCTACCCTCCCCCTTTTTTTGGCGTTTTGGGGGGGAACTAGTTAGTGTTATGAGCTCACTATCACACCAGTGTTCCACGCACCTTTTCAGTTCAGTTGTTCTGTGAAGCTCTCCAAGGGTTCATGTGATCACTGGAGGTCTCTGGAGATTCTCAGTCCTCCAGGTCACGGTTGTCCCAAAGAGGCTTTTTCAAGAGGCAACTGGACTTTCTTGATTTTCCTTTTCTTTGAAGACATTTTGCCTCTCATCTGAGAAGCTTCTTCGGTTCTGAGTGAAGAAGCTTCTTGGAGAAGTGAAACGTCTTCAAAGACAAAAACAAAGGAAGTTCAGTTGCCTCTTGAAAAAGCACCTCTGGGGAATCATGGTTGGTGATTGATTGTTTGTTAGTTTGCTTGGCTGGCTGGCTGGCTGGTTGGTTGGCTGGTTGGTTGGTTGGTTGGTTGGTTGGTTGGTTGGTTGGTTGGCTGGTTGGTTGGTTGGCTGGCTGGCTATTTGGTTGGGTGGTTGGCTGGCTGGCTATTTGGTTGGTTGGTTGGTTGGTTGGTTGGTTGGTTGGTTGGTTGGCTGGCTGGCTATTTGGTTGGTTAGTTGGTTGGTTGGTTGGTTGGCTATTTGGTTGGTTGGTTGGTTGGTTGGTTGGTTGGTTGGCTGGCTATTTGGTTGGTTGGTTGGTTGGTTGGTTGGTTGGTTGGTTGGTTGGCTGGCTATTTGGTTAGTTGGTTGGTTGGTTGGTTGGCTGGCTATTTGGTTGGTTGGTTGGTTGGCTGGCTGGCTATTTGGTTGTTTGGTTAGTTGGTTGTTTGGTTGGTTGGTTGGCTGACTAGTTGGCTGGCTGGCTGGTTGGTTGGCAAATCCTAGTTGACCCAGTTGATAAATTTATTCCATAATGATCTGGATTAATGTGGGCCCCTAACAAATCTAATGCAGGTAGCCTTTGACTTACCACCACAATTTAGGCCAAAATCTCTGTTGCTAAGCAAGACGGTGGTTGAGTGAAT